CACATCCGCGATCATGCACTCCGTCGACACATGCTCCAACGCAAACATTCTAGCATTAATCGATTCGCGGACAAAGTGATGTTTAATGTCAATGTGCTTTGTACGAGCATGAAACACGGGATCGTTCGCCAGACACTGAGCCCCCCGATTATCCACGAAAATCGTAATTTCGGCCCAATCATGCAATTCGAGCTCGCGTAACATGTTGTACAAATAAATGGCTTCCTTCGCTGCTTCCGCCAGACTGACGTATTCGGCCTCCGTTGTTAATAATGCCACAGTCCGTTGCTTCTGCGATTTCCACGTAATCGCCGCGCCGCTGAGCAGAAACGCATATCCCGTGTACGAACGACGGTCCACGGTACAGCCACCCCAGTCGGCATCCGCGTATCCAACTAACGGCTCATCAGTCTTTGTATATACCAGTCCAATCTCAGCAGTACCAGCGAAATATCTCAAGACTCTCTTTGCAGCAAGCCAATGGTATTTACGGGGTTTGGTTGTAAACTGCGCTAATCGCGATACGGTGTTCGCTATGTCCGGACGCGTGGCCACCGACAAATACATGAGGGCACCAATCAACTTGCGATATGGACAATTTTTGTTAAATATAAGCAAGTCTGTTCAATAGCTTTGTTCAGTGCTGCCATTAGAGTAGCTGTAGAGGCGCTGTAAAACAGTTTAAGTGTCACTTTATTATTTTTTCCTAGACGCGATAGAGTCACTTCTTATTATTAGTTTTTCTATGTTTTTCATCGCTTTTGTAGTATGGCGTCGAATCTTGACACACACGTATGGTTCATAATAAAGATAACTTTCTTTTAAGTCTATACCAAATGTATTTGTCTCTCACATGCTCTTATAACCATAAAGTCAACAGGTTATGGGCCCAGCAGTGCGGTTCAGTGCGTAAGTGAGCAAACAGAAAGACATTTAGACATTACAAAGTTCGCGTGTCCGGTACGAAAAAAAATCGACGCGTGAAAGACGCCATACTCGTTGTGCCGTTAGTCTTTGTGAGAGCTCGGTAATTTTCGCAGAGTCAAGTTCGACTAGTGAGAAAGAGCATTAAAGGACACTCGCAAAGATGGAAAAGCTTAAGAATTTCCACATTCAAAAGTTCGACGAAAATAATTTCCATTTGTGGAAATTCCAAATGAAAATTATATTTCGTGCAGAGAAAATTCTCGATGTCGTCGATGGCAGCACGATTCGACCAGAAGCGACCGAGGTGGATAGAAGAAAGGCATGGGATGAAAACAACTCAAGAGGAATGTTAATCATCTCTACAGGCCTCGAATACAGTCAGTTGCAAGTCGTTGTCGCATGTGAGACTGCGGCGCAAATGTGGAACCGCCTAAAGAGTATTCATGAACAACGCAGTTCGGTAAATAAGGTTACGCTCAAGCAGCAATTTTTCAGTTATAAGATGAATCCCAACGAAAGCATCGCTCAGCATATTAGTAAAATCGAGTCGATGGCTTTGGCACTGGCCGATGTAGACGAGCGCGTTACCGACGTGGACAAGATCGCGAAGACACTCGAGAGTTTACCGAGCAGTTACGGCGCGTTCATAAACGCATGGGATTCGTACGACGAAAGGAAACAGACGTTCGAGAATCTAACCTCTCGTCTCCTCAAGGAAGAAAAGCGGCTCACGCAGGAAGATGATGTTGCGGCGGCATTTGCAGCATTGAACGTGCAGAAGAAAAAGAAAAATCCTCCCCAGAATGACAATAAGAGCGGTGGTGAAGGAAAATCGACAGACAAGACGGATATCACGTGCTTTTAATTGTAAAAAGACTGGTCATATGAAGCGTGAGTGTTTTAAATGGAAGGCTAAGCATAAGAAGGACGATCAAGAAGACGTTTCGAAAAATGTAGCTTTGAGCGCCGAGCTCAAAAACATTTCAGTTTCCGGGTGTGAAAACGCATGGCTCGCGGACAGTGCGGCGTCAAAACATATGACCTTTCATAAAGAATGGTTCACAGTATTTCGATCAACAGACAGTTCGTTAAGTGTGGTACAGATAGATGACAATTCGTTCGTGCAAGCGGAAGGCATTGGCTTAGTGGAAATTCTAGCACTCGTCAATGGACAGTGGGAGCCACGTACACTGGAAAATACTTTATATGTGCCGAAACTAAAGAAAAATCTATTTTCAGTGGGAGCCGCTACGAGCAAGCAGTTCAAGGTCATTTTCGACGACAGCAAGATCGAGGTGCGGAAATCAAAACCCAGTCAGAAATGATTAGTTGATTCGACGTTGAATCAATGTCGAAAACCGAATGTCGAATCAACGTCGTAATTCTGGTCGATTCGACGTCGAAAGCGTATAAAATATCACCGACTATTCAACTTATCGTTTCAACGTCGTTTCAACGTTGAAGGTTGAAATTCGATTGAAATATAGTATATTATATATTTTATATTTTTTTATATATGCAGTGTTTGTCTGGATAGGTCCTAAATATAAAATTTATATATATTATTTATACATATGTGATTGATTGCGCAATCCGAGTCGAAATTTTACTCCTTCTTTCGACCTCTTATTTTTCACATCTCAGGATTCTAAAGGATTTTGATAGGTTCTAATTGTATTGTACTTAGCTCCTACTTTGTGCCTGAAAACGGCAGAAAACGGACTGTTTCCCATTTTGAGGTTTAAAAGAGGAGTTATCGGTAAAACCCTCCTAAACCTCCTAAAACCCTCTAGATCCCTACACTGATAGAAAAATGTACTAAATTTTAATTAATGTTTTCTCCAGTAGTCCTTATAAAGTATTTTTTTAATTCAGTTAATATTTTTCGAATGAAAAAAATATTCATCCAATTGAAACAAATTTTCTAAACCTAATAAAATATTTACTGAATTCAAAAGAATACTTTATTAGGACTATTGGAGAAAACATTTATTGTAGTACATTTTATTATCAATGTATTAATTTTTACTACTTTTTAAATCGTAATGAAACATGTTCCATATCACGTACATCATCGATAATTCATATAGTATAGGTTTTGGTAAATTTAGCAACGAGATACGGTTGTGACTTTGACTTATGTTGTCGTATCTCGTTGCTCTGTTAAATGCAGTATTTATCTAGATTTATTATTTAGAATCTAAGATTTTTAATATTAAAAAAATATTACCGCAAAATATTTTATAACATTGTTAATTTTAATTTTAATTAATCACAATTTTAATTAATCAGATACATATAGACATACATGTATCACAATTAATAATGTTATAAAATTTATATAATAAATCTTTTTTTTATTAACCATATTAAACACAACTTAAATAAAAACTCCACTGCAAGTCACCGATAATATACATGACATAGAGCATGTTAATATGATAATGTGGTAAATAGCATATAGGGGGGAGAGTCAGAAAAAATCTAAGAGATTGCACACGTTTGTTTTTAAGGTACAAAGGAACATATATTTATTTGTTTACACTTTTTTATTTACTTGTTCATGTACTCTTGCATACTATCTAAATTAAACTCATATTATATCATAACAAAAAAACAATTTTTTTTAACTATTTAAAACAATTAATATATGTATTGTATCTTAATAAAAATTAAAATTAAAATTTAGTTTCAACAAAATTAAAATTAAAATTGAAAAATGTCTTGATACTGATTGTGAGTATCTTAAAATGAAATATCTTAATACTAATAAAACTTAAAATTAATACCTTAATACCAAATAACTAATCGCATATCACAAATGCCATTTAACAAATAATATTAATAATACGGAATTAAGGAGTCTGGATTACCGATTGAAATCAAAGTAAGAAAAGAAAAGAGAAGAAAAGAGAGGGGGGCTTCTGCATTTGTCTACGAGATAAATTCTAGGGCCAATATATAAACCAGAGTAACAAGAATAAGAGCAATTCCAAGATCTCAAGACGAGATTAACCTTGCAGAGCTCCTTGTACTACTACGAACAATGTCGATCTTCCAATATGGCGTCCCAAATGAGAATATCGGAAGGGCCCTGCTCGCTGGACCGGACTCCTCGCCTCAATTCTCCCTCTCGGGCGCGAGCTGCCGCAGCTCTCCTTTTTCTGGCGGTGAGCTCTCCTTGGGAAGTCGAATCTCGCTCGGTTGGTCTCCAGAATATGTGCCGCTTAGCTCAATCAGTTACGAAAGAAGGAAAACGTACTCGTCTCGTCCGAAGAAACGCAGCAAGAGCGGCTATGACACTGAACTGACTGAACGAGAGCGAGCCGAGCGAGAAAGGAGTGGGGGCGCTTTGAAAGTAGCGACTCACGCGTCGCGCCATCTACATCTGAATGAAACGATCGGGCGTTTGCAAAACGCGAAGGAATTTGAGCGCAATATCTGAAGTAAATATTAAATTAATATTAAATAAATGTTAAATAAATGTTTTTTTAATTCATTATGGCAAATAAATAGTTAATGTAAAATAAATATTAAAATAATGTCGAATAAATGTTAAATAAATGTTTTTTTAACTTATTGCAAATAACTTACTAATGTAAAACAAATATTAAATAAACGTTAAATAAACGTTTAATAAATATTTTTTCTAAATTATTACTTCAAATAAATAATCAATGTGGGAGTAGTGAGGTTTCGGAACATAGAAGGTGACAGGTGTGAACATAGCGGAGATAAAGTGATAGAAAAGTGCGGCACAGAAAGGGTGGGAGAGAGTGAGAGTAGCGGGACGGCAAGGGATGGAGGTGTGAGACGGCGGAGGAGAAAGAGTTAAGCGGGGGCGAGATCGGTTAAAAGGTGAAAAGTGAAGAAAGTGGCTGGAACGAAGTGACAGTTGAGGCATAGACGGTAAGTAACATAGAGAGGCGACAGAACGTAGGAAAGAGGCGCGAAAGCGGGCATAGACTAGCTCAGTCATAGAAGGGAAGCTCGGATATAGAAGGAATAGTAGGATGTGCACGCAGCCATAGGATACAAAAAAGAAAGAGGGATAGGCAAATCAAGAACAGCGGATGGATAAAGAGAAGGAAATAGAATCAGAAAGTGCACAACAGGGAGATAAAGGAAAGAAGGGAGAAGGCGAAGGCGAGAAGAAAGCGAGAGGCAGACCAACGAAGGCGGAGGAGTTAGCCAAATTAAGAAGAACGGACAGTACAGGATCGGTCAAGGAATTCTTTCAGAAGAGTGAGAAAAGGAAGAGGGAAGAAGAGGTGGAGGAAGCAGCGAATGCGGAGAAAGAAATTCTAAGAGAATTTAACGCACAAAAAAGGGTCAACAGATCACCGCCGCCCAAAATCAAAAAAGAAAAGCAGGGAAAAGAAAATATGGCGACGGAAGAATTACTGGAGAAGGTTAAAGAAATTTTGAAGAAAATGGAGGAACAAGAGGAAGAAAGAAAGAAAGATAAGGAGGAACAAGAGAAAGAAAGGAAAAGAGATAAAGAGGAAATAAAAAACGAAATTAAGGGACTGAGGGAGGAATTGAGGAGAAGCGAGGAGATATGGGAAAATCAAAGAAAGACCCTGGAAGGAAGAATTAAGAATTTAGAGGAGAAGGCGGAGAAGATAGAAGTAAACATGTCAATGAGTGAGGGAGGGGAGATAATAAGGAAAATAAAAGAGATAGAAAGAAATATGGAGATGGCAGAAAGAAGAAGGAGGAGAGTAAACATAATTGTAAGAGAAGAGAAAACAGGAAATGAAAAGGAAAGAAAAGAAAAAACCGAGAAGTTGATAGAAGAAATAAATAGATCGAAAATGGTCGTCGAGGAAGTACAAGAAATTGGACATGGAGAATTTAAGATGAAGGTACTGAGATGCAGAAATTGGGATAACAAACGAGAGATAATGATGAGAAAGAAAGAGCTAGGAAAGAAGTATGGCTGTTTTCTGAATGACGACCTTACTAAAGAAGAAAGGCAGATACAGAAAGAGTTAAGAAAGATAGCAAGGAAAAAAAGGGAGGCAGGAAAATGGGTAACGGTCGGTTACCAAAAAATATGGGAGGATAATAAGGAATGGAGATGGAACGAAAACAAAGAAGCGCTAGAAGAAAGGGATCACTTTCGCAGATAAGAAAGAAAAAAAGAAGGATAAAGAATGGTTAAGCATGATGAACGAGAGAAGGAGGGAAGAGATACAAGAAAGAAGACAGGAAAGGTCCAAGGAGATAGAAGAAAGGCGGAACACACCTAAAGAAACCAGAAAGGACGAAAAAAGTATAAAGGAGGTAGATGAGAAAAATATTAGAGAAAACGGAATAAGGGAAGTCGAGGGACAAGAGAAAAGATATATAGGAGAAGAGGAAAGAAACGACGGGGAGAGTGAAGAGACGTGGAAAGTGGCCTTTTGGAACGTAGCTGGTTTAACAAACAAGGATAAGGACTTCTGGGAAGGGATAAAAGAATGGGATGTGATTGTGATGATGGAGACTTGGACTGATGAGAAAGGATGGGAGAAGGTGAAGGAGAAGCTACCGAGAGAATATAGATGGAGAGTACAGACAGCAGCCAGGAGGAACAAGAAAGGCAGAGCGTGCGGAGGCATGTTGCTAGGAATAAGGAAAAGCATAGAAGAGATAAAGGAAAGAAGGGAGACGGAGGAAGAAGGAAAAATCGAAGGTAAGATAAGAATAGGAAAGGAAGTATGGAGAATAATAGGAATCTATGTAAACAACAATATAGACGAAAAACTAGAAGGTCTGAAGGAAAGGACGGAGGAGGGGGAAAAAGGAGTAAGGACCATAATAGGAGGTGACTTTAACGCGAGAACGGGAGAGGAAGGAGGATGGGAAGAGGAAATCGAGCGAAGAGAGGAAAGAGGGAGGAAGTCTAAAGATAAGAAGATAAATAAAGAAGGCAGAAAGTTACTGGAGTTTATCGAGGAGAGAGGATATATGATATTAAATGGAGGCACAAAGGGGGACGAGGAGGGAGAATATACATACACAGGGGGAAGAGGTGAGACAGTCATAGATTACATAATAGGGGACGAGGAGGTTAGAGAAAAGGTGGAAAGACTGGAAGTAGGAGAAAGGATAGATTCGGACCATCATCCATTAATACTATAGGTGAGGGGAAGCTCAAAGAGAAGGCATAGGAGGAGAGGAACTGAAAAAATGAAAAGAAGGGGAGTATGGAATGAGGAAGGAAAGACGCAATTTAAGGAGAAGTTAGGCGCGATTGAAGGAAAAAAAGACCTGCAAGAGGAAATAGAGGAAGGAACAAGGAAGATAAGAAGGGTGATTGAGGAGAACGAGGACAAGAATGAAAGAATGACTATCAAGAACAAAAGAGGGTGGTGGGACGAGGAATGTACGGAGAGCAAGAGGGAAGTGAGGAAAGAACTAAGGAAATGGAGAAAAGGGAAAGGAGAAGCAGAAAGATACAGAGAAAGAAGGAAAGAATATAGGGAAATGTGTGATAGAAAGAAGAAGGAGGAGAAAGAAAGAATGATCAGAGAAATTGGAGAAGCGAAAACGGAGGGAAAGGTATGGGAGTTGATAGGCAGAGTAAGGAAGAGAAGAAGAAGGGTGAATGAAGAGATAAAACCGGAAGAGTGGAAGGAGTATTTCATGGAACTGATGGGTGGAGTGGAGAACAGAGTGGTAAAGGGAGAGGGAGACAGAAGCAGACAGGAGGAAGAAGAGATAGGACTAGAAGAGATAAGAAACGTAATAAAGAAACTAAAGACGGGAAAAGCAATAGGCAATGACGGGATACCTAACGAGGCATGGAAGTACGGAGGAGAAGAAATGGTGAAATGGATATGGGAGGTATGCAAACGTGTCTGGAGAGGTGAAGGCTGGCCGGAACAATGGAAGGAAGGGGAGATAATCCCATTAGTTAAAAAAGGAGAAGGGCGAGAGGTAAAGGACTATAGAGGAATAACCATCATGTCTTCGATGTACAAAATTTACACGGCGGTACTGGCGGAAAGAATAAGAGAAGAAGTAGAAACGAAGAAATTGATCCCCGATAATCAAACGGGATTCAGGAAAGGAATGGGAACGATGGATCAAATATTCGCTTTGAATTACCTGGTGAACAGACAAATAGGAAAAGAGAAAGGAAAGATGACAGTGTTTTTTGTGGATCTGAAGGCTGCCTTCGACTCAGTGGACAAAAGAGTATTAATAAAAGCAATGAGAGAAAGAGGAGTGAGACAAGGACTGATAGACAGAATAGAGGAAGTATTGAGGGAAACAAAGAGCAGAGTAGGGAACGGAGGAGAGAGTGATGGTCAATTTTGGACGGGGAAAGGCCTGAGACAGGGATGCCCACTAAGCCCAATATTATTCAACCTATTAATCGCAGACATAGAGGATCATATAAAAAAAGGCGGATGGGGAGGAGTGAAATTAAGAGGCGAGAAAATATACACGCTAATGTATGCAGATGATATTGCACTGCTGGCAGAGGAGGAGCAGGACATGAGATCGATGATAAGCAGGTTAGAAGGATATTTAGACAGAAAAGGGTTAACTCTGAGTATAGAGAAGTCAAAGGTAATGAGATTCAGAAAGGGAGGAGGAAGGAAGAAGAAGTACGACTGGAGGTGGAAGGGAAAAAAATTAGAAGAGGTTAAAGAATTCAAATATTTAGGGTATACGATGAAGGAGAATGGAGGGCAGGAGGCGCATATCAGAGAGAGAAGAAGGAAGGCAGCAAGAGTAATGAGGGAAGTATGGGGGATAGGGAAGAGGATGTGGAAAAAGGACTGCAAAAGAAGGATCTGGCTATACGACACACTGATATGGACAGTGATGGGATACGGGGCAGAAGTATGGGGATGGAAGGAGAGGAGGGAGGTAAAAGGTATTCACGAGAGATATCTTAGATGGATACTTGGAGTAAATTGGAGGACGCCGGGATATATGGTCAGAGACGAGCTAGAAAGAGAGAAGATGAGAAGTAGAGCAAGCAAGAGAACATGGAAATTTGAAAGAAAATTGGAAGAAGGTAGAGGAGAAGAGATAGCGAGAAAGTGTTTGGAAGAAATGAAAGAGAGATGGAAGAGAGGAAAGGTAATAGGGAGATGGGAGCAGGAGAGAAAAGATTACTTGGAAGGGATCGGAGTAGAAATGGAAGGAGGAGAGGAGTTGGAGGAGGAGGAATAGGAAAAGGAGAGAGATAAGGAGAGACAAGAAAGGATGGAAAAAATCGTAGGATCGAAGTACAATAGATGGTATAAGAGCATAAGGAAGGACGGGATCCCGGACTATCTAATGAAGGGATGGGAGGAAGCAAGATGGAACAGGATTGCAAGATTCAGACTGGGTAACGAAGTGAGGGAAGGACTATACTGGGAAAATGAGGAGGACAAAAAATGCAGGATGTGTGGAAAGGAAGAGGAAACATGGGAACATGTATGGGAGGAATGTACGAGATGGGTGGAATGGGAAGGAGAGAGGTGGCAGGATGTGGCAGAGAGATTACTAGGAGAAAAGGGAGAGGGAGAAGAATGGATGAAAGCAATAGAGGAAAGGAGACGAGATGGAGGAGGGAGGATAATGAGAAAGGAAGAAGGACAAGCCAACAACTCAACGAAAGAGGATCAAGGAGGGCGAGACAACGAAAAGGATCGAAGAAGAATATGTTTATAATAAATTATATGTATTTTAATTGTATGTAAATTGTTGTAAACTGGATGTACAGGGTTGGGTACGTCCCTAAAAAACGCCCTTTTAGACCCCTTGGGGTAATAAAGTATCTTATCTAATCTAATCTAAATAATCAATGTGAAATAAATATTTAATAAACATTAAATAAATATTATTTTTACAATAAATTGTACAAATGTATAATTAATAAAAAATAAATATTAAAAACACATTTAAAAAACACTGTCTGTTGATTGGGCAAGAGCTTGAATAAATAAATACCAGTCCATATTCAATTATCGTAAATTTAGTAATATGTAAATATATGAAGATAAGTAATTATAAGAAGTAATAACAAAAAGAAAGATGTTTTGTAATAGTTTTGTATATATTTAAAATTTCCTACCTTTAGTTGCACATATACGCATGCGTACTCATACATACACACATTCTTTTAATTTTATTTTGAATTATTTTAATAAATAAAGAAAAAAGAGAGAAAGAAGGAAAAAATAATATAGAAAAATACAATTTTATATAAATAATTATTTATACGTTATATATAAAATAATTTTTTTTAGTTATTATTAATAAAACTATTATTGTTAACCTAATAAAATTCCTTTTAATTTTGTTTTTACTATTTTTGATTAAATTAATAAATAGAGAGAACCGTTATTATAAACATTTATTATGAACGTTATTATAAACGTTTAATAAATCATATATAATATTTAATCGAAAATATAATAAACCTATAATAATAAAAATAAACTAAATGCAATAAATAAATTAAGAAATGTTAGGAACATTAAAGTAGGAGCATGATTTCTTTTCAAACAGAATTGTCAGATTCTAAATAGGAGCCAGAGGTTGAAGAGGTTCAAAATAGGGTGATGTGACTGCTTATAGTATCAAAGTAGGTGTTAGGTCGAACATTTTGGTCGAAAGTAGGTGTTATATTGAACATTGAGGTCGAAAATAGGAGAAAAATTTCGACTCGGTACGCCATTTCTTAAACGTCCATAAAATTATTTTGTACAATTTACATAAACAATGTCGTAATATTTTTTAGGATTAAAATCTAAATTGATCGAATTTTATAAGTGCGCACTCAAAACAGCGCTATTAATCGCTTTGACGTTGAATCAACCTTGAATCGACACTGGACATGATCGATATTGCAGGAATATTGACTTTCTTATCGACTCAACCAGCTGTCAACCATATCGACGTTGAATTAACCTTGAATCAAGGTTACATTTCTAACTGGGAAGGTCATCGCTACTGGCATTAAAATGGCCAATCAATGCTACAAGATGTTGTTCAAGGAAAAAGGAGTCGAACAAGCAAATGCAGCGATGGAAGAATCGGTGAGACTCTGGCATGAGAGGCTGGGTCATCCAGGCATTAATATTTTCAAGGAAATGGCAAGTCAGGGATTAATTCCAGAAGTAAAGTCAAGCACTATCGACAAGTTTTTTTGCGAATCATGTCAGTCCGGTAAGATACATCGATTACCGTTTCATGCCAATTTGAATACTCGTGCTAGTAAACCGGGAGAGTTTATACACGCGGATGTCTGTGGAAAAATGCCAGTCACTTCGCTTGGTGGCGCAAACTATTTCTTGTTATTCAAAGACGATTGCACGTCATATCGGTTTGTGTACTTTATGAAATATAAAAGCGATATATTTAGTACATTTCTACAGTTTCAACAGATGGTTGAAAGACAGACAGGTAATAAAATTAAAGTTTTTAGGAGCGATAATTGGCGCGAGTTTGTAAATGAACAATTCACCGATCATTTCAATAAGATGGGAATAATTGCAGAAAGAATGGCGCCATATTGTGCAGAGCAGAACGGACGGATAGAACGTGAAAATCGATCTGTTGTTGAGTGTGCACGCACTATGCTCATTTATGCGAATCTTTCAGAGACATTATGGGCTAAAGCAGTAAGCACGAGTGTCTACATTCTAAACAGGCGACCAAGCAAGGTACATGACGTCACTCCGTTCGAAAAATTTACTGGTAAGAAAGTAACTCTCAAGCACATGCGGAAATTCGGAGCAGAAGCATATGTCCACATACCCAAAATTGCTCGTACCAAGTTCGACAACAAGGCAGAAAAGGTTATCGTCGGCTATGATGGATGTAGTACAAACTATAGGCTGTATAATCCAAATACAAGAAAAGTCACAGTAGCTAGAGATGTGACGTTCAATGAGGGGAACACCCCAGGCGCTCTAATTAACGATCCAGATTACACAGTATACTCATCAAAGGAAGATGTACAGGAAGATGTACAAGAAGATAATCCACCTGACAGAAATGTGGAAGAAGAAAGAAGAGATGGAGTAAATATGTCGCAGCCAGCGAATCAGGGTCCCACACTTCGTGACAGGAAGACTCTGAAAGCACCAGACAGGTTCGATGTATGTCAGGCAACCATCGACATTGCATGC